TTTCTAATAGAAATACTATTTGTTTTAAGAAAACATTGTATTTTCTTCAGCCCTTTTACAGAGGCGTGTTAGGTCCTAATGTCGAGAGTAGGACCCTAATTCAATTAAGGGCTACGAAGCCAAGTTCAAGGCAATATGATTAAGGCTCTAGTGATATAATTATTGAATAGTCACCCTTAAATTCATTAATTGTGACATATTTTATTAAGAAACATGCAAACCGTGAGAATATCAAAAGAAGAAATACCCAATTTTACCAAATTTTCTTGCAAAGTGTTATGTCCTTATCTAATAGATGTACATGTAGTAGCCAGAAGATTTATCTTTGAAGTTTCTTTATTTGTGGTTATTGATTTCACAAATCCACAATTGGAACATTTAAAGAATAATTTTGAATTTAATCCTATACTGAATTCTCTGACAAATGCTAAATAACCAGTTTTTTGTTATGCAACATTTATGACTTTTCAGTGATCTTATATCACCAATGAAATGACGATTCGTCTATCAGAGATGAAAAATGGATACAACGTCATTGTATTAGCACTTTGCCCTACACAGGAATTTTCAATGAAAATTATGCACTCTAAATAATTTTAAAAGTGAGGCTTTCATGAAAAAATACAAGAACAAGTCGAAAATCATATAAAGGGACAATTCTGCTCGTGGTATACTCGTAACTTTTACGGTCTCCTCCCCGGTTATGACCACTATTCTTTTTTTTTTTTTAATGAAACCCTATATATTAGTAAGACAATAACTTAAAATCAATCCCATATAAATTAATTTTATTAAGTTAAATGTTTTGGCCTTAGGACATCAGGTCTAAAAATTAAGTGATAAGCGCTTACAAAACACGTCCCCATAAAAAGGTTAAAAAAATACACGTGCATGATTAAAACCGAGCCCAAACAAGGGTAAGGTAGTGGTAAGAAATATCATATGTGGGACATGTTATGTTATGTTGAGAATGGGGTGTTAAAGCACTGCGACCTAAAAGATATATTGCGCCCCCTTCTGTCGCCACTGCACTGGGACATGTTGATAAATGTGAGAATATGGCGATGAATAGTGTTAGCCTATAAGTTTCTTTAAGCAAACCTTTTTCAACTTGTATCATACACGTGTATTTTTTTAAATATTTTATGGAGACGTCATCTTATATTGTAAGAGCTTATTACTGTATTTTTAGATCTGATGATGGCCTAATCCCGAAACCGGTTGTCATTTAACTTCCTAAAATAAATTTACATAGGATTGATTTTGAGTAATTTTTTTACCTTTAAGGTACATATTAGTTAGTTACTCTGTATACTATCACATTTTTCTATTCTTTTATACTATTCGATTTCAAAAATGTATACCTGAGGTGTACATTAAATCGTTTGGAAGTTGCATTTCTTGAGCTTTTGTTTACGTTCTTTCTTTCTTTCCCTTTCTGTCTATTTTTTTTTTCTTTCTCTTCTCACCTTTAAAATTATGGATAGTTTTCATTTAAATTATTTAATATTCATTTTATTATTAAATAGTACCCAACCATAGCGCGCGAACGTATCCTCCAGTCAGTTTTTTTTATTTAAATTTTTTGACTGCGCGAACTAAGTCCATTCGCCAAACCACATTATTGTTCTAATTTTATACCATATTTTAAGGATAATGCGCTCACCCTAAATAATTTTATTTCAGTAAAGTTCATAGTTGAGAATGATTGAGCGGACCAGTGGAAGACTTAACAAAAGCTCGCTAGGTCATATCCATCTCTTAGCTGGATCGCTTGGGCCGTCCGCGCTCAACACCTCACCTCCCGCGGCTTACAATATAAACAAATAAAACATAATTATATTGAAGTTTGGCAACGTTCTTCGCATCAAATCGTAAAGATCTCCCGCGTAATCTATTATTGTGCTAGCAGTCTCTTTTGGCGGCGATATAAACTAACGAAATATTATTCTATCATAGATAGAACTCTGTAACTTTAATAAATTGTATACTAAATTTGATTCGACAGGTAGAGCCATCTCTAGAGTCAGAAACGAGTGAGGAGGTGGGTTCATATAAACCTTAACCTGCCTTTCAATAAGAGAATGAGCCGAGTCCCCCTCGTTTTGAGTATGGTCTTTGATTAGAAATTTATGAGTCAGTGATTTTATATCGAGGACACGTACGGCATATAAATATAAAGCCAACATAAATATGACTTCTGCATCACTCATGAAAGCCTTCTTTTGCAAATATTTCAGGACACACGAACCCAGTTCGTTTACACCTCGGTGGTCATTGGACTTGTCCCAAACGTAGCATTCGTAGATATTTCTTTGAAGGTCGTAAATTGTGAAATTGAACACGTTCAATTTTGACGTAATAAAATACCGATACGTCTCCTTTGGGTATTTGCATGACTGCTTGCAAATCATACACTCCGATAATGCCATTAAAATTATTTTTATCTTTATCATGTTTCTTTTCTTGTTTCGACAAGTTTTTCTCCACCAAATGCCGATCATAACTATCTTTTAAATCAAAAAGGTAAATCAAACGAGGGTGGTCCTTAGGATCTCACAAGAGTATTTTATTACGACCGGTTTCGAGGATCAAATCCTCATCATCAGGTAAGGTCTAAAAATAGAGAGGAAAAACGAATGAGCTCATAACTAATAAGTGGGTTTAAACATTTTAATATGAAAGTTGTCAAATATCAAGAACTCACCCGTAATTACTCATCTATTTAAGACTAAGCTAATAGAATTATCCCAGGGTCGGTGTGAAAACAAGTATGCGAGTATTTTTTAAAATACATAAAAAATATAAAAAAACAATAGTTGCAACAAAAAGTTGATGTCAAAACACATAAACAAAAGTAGGTCTAAAACTATTAATTAAAATTATTAAAATATTCAACGAACGGACGAACAATTAAGACAAACAAATTTAAAAACTTTTTAAAAAACCCTACAAGCACTAAAATGGGTTCTTGGACAAGTGTTTATAATTCTACAGGAATTAAATTTTATTTAGATTAATAACTGATTAACGCCCTCAAGATATAAATAGACGAATTAACCATTCTAATATTTAAGATAACAGAGGTTGTCAAATTTAAATATTTTGACCATCGGCTAATAGATGGCGTTGGCGAAAAAATAAATGTTTCTTAATAATAATATAGGTTTATAAACTGAATTGTTTGAATTTGTACGTAATAAACAAAATGAAATAAATAAATTATTATTGTTAAAAGTAGAGTCTAGCATTAGCGTTGGAAAATAATTTTAGATGTACTAATATTCAAATTAAGAAGTTGGTAACAATCAACGGAAAAGGAAATGGTGTTAAAATGAAAAGAGAGAAAAACTATTGATTTGGTTAATTATTTTTTTGAAGTAATGTGCTGAAAAATGAAAATGGAAAAAGAGACAGAGAAAAATGAAAATGGAAAAAGAGACAGACTGTCTCTTTTTCCATTTTCATTTTTCAGCACATTACTTCAAAAAAATAATTAACCAAATCAATAGTTTTTCTCTCTTTTCATTTTAACACCATTTCCTTTTCCGTTGATTGTTACCAACTTCTTAATTTGAATATTAGTACATCTAAAATTATTTTCCAACGCTAATGCTAGACTCTACTTTTAACAATAATAATTTATTTATTTCATTTTGTTTATTATTACGTACAAATTCAAACAATTCATTTTATAAACCTATATTATTATTAAGAAACATTTATTTTTTCGCCAACGCCATCTATTAGCCGATGGTCAAAATATTTAAATTTGACAACCTCTAAACTGTTATCTTAAATATTAGAATGGTTAATTCGTCTATTTATATCTTGAGGGCGTTAATCAGTTATTAATCTAAATAAAATTTAATTCCTGTAGAATTATAAACACTTGTCCAAGAACCCATTTTAGTGCTTGTAGGGTTTTTTAAAAAGTTTTTAAATTTGTTTGTCTTAATTGTTCGTCCGTTCGTTGAATATTTTAATAATTTTAATTAATAGTTTTAGACCTACTTTTGTTTATGTGTTTTGACATCAACTTTTTGTTGCAACTATTGTTTTTTTATATTTTTTATGTATTTTAAAAAATACTCGCATACTTGTTTTCACACCGACCCTGGGATAATTCTATTAGCTTAGTCTTAAATAGATGAGTAATTACGGGTGAGTTCTTGATATTTGACAACTTTCATATTAAAATGTTTAAACCCACTTATTAGTTATGAGCTCATTCGTTTTTCCTCTCTATTTTTAGACCTTACCTGATGATGAGGATTTGATCCTCGAAACCGGTCGTAATAAAATACTCTTGTGAGATCCTAAGGACCACCCTCGTTTGATTTACCTTTTTGAACTTATAACTCACACATGGCTACCACCTTCAACTTTAATCTCTTTTAAATTTTCATTCTCTTCATTAATTGCATTTTCATATGCCACACAAGTTTCACATAAGTCCTTTTTAGGCATAAAGAATGAAATATTAAATTCTTCTGTAAACAGCCGATGGAATATTGCGTAGCTTGTAAGTTTTGTTGTTCTCTTTACAATTTACCACATAATTTCTATGAATGTCTGCTAATGAGCGACTGCCGTCAATGAATATTCGTGATGTATTTGCTCTGCTATAGTGGCTTTCAATTTTAAGAATTCTATTGATGTGTTCTCTAATCCCTTCTCGTATGGCCGGATCCAACTTCTTTTGCTTGCCGTGTTTTCCTCGCTGATCTGGTTCGAGTGGTACATCTGCCACCTTATTGCGTTTTTCCTGTACTGTGCGTACTGTTCGATTATTTATGTCTAAAGTGTGTTAAAAAAAAAAAGCTTACATACTCGAGTATAGCGATATTTTGATTTAATGATTGTCATAGAGTTGTTAATAAAATCTCTTTCTTTCTCAATATTTCCTAAAGACCAATAATTTGAGAAAATTTTCTGCCTTTCTTCTTGATGGAACCTGCTTGAACACTGCAATTTACATTTCTCTCCACACGGAGCTTTCATTTCCATTCGATCTCGAATCCTTCATTTTTTGTATGAGTTTCGTATGCCTTCCCACTATTTCTGGATTTCTTCAAAATATTTCTTTTCCACATTTCTTTATTGTTTTTTCGTTTAAGACCTTTTTTGGCGGGACTCACTGAAATTTGTATATTTTGAGCAGATGTGGATGGATTATTTAAATGCGGAGTACTGTTGTCTGTGTGAGAACCTGCACCTGCAGTATTTTTTTGAGTATTGTCAGCAACATTTTCCTTTTCACTGTCACTTTCTTCATTATTTTTAGGTAAGTACGCTGTATCATTAATAAGATCATCACAATCTTCAGAGGATGATACGCTGCTTCCATAGAATGACGAACTAGATGATGAACTGGAACTATTTGAATGGCAAGTTGGGACAGTCAAATTGTCTGGAATTCCTGTATAAAAAATTAAAGAGTCAATAAAATATGTCCGCGTGCACACAGCCGCCAACTTCTTTTGGGTTTCTTGATAAAATATGTGTTTGAGAGACATAATTTACAAATACAGGCCTACCAGGTTCTATTGAAGGTTCTTGCGTTGATATTGAAGATGTGGCAGGTTTACTTTCCGGAGCATTTGTTGAATGTTCATTTTCATCATCATTCAATTTTTTGTTAATAAACTCGAATTCATGTTTAGACGATTCCGTATTAATTACTATTTATCATTTTCGTCGACTGTTGCGCTTTCACGGCGAGCTGACACATTACTTTACCCCGAGAGAACATATTTATAGAAAACTAAAAAGAAAAACATAAATTGTGGTAAAGAAGTGATAAAAACTAAAATGAAAATATATAATGCTTAGCATTCTATATTATACTCTTCACAATTTAATCCCCTTTATCCCTCTTTTTTTTTCAGGATCATTATGCATTTTCCCCCCTTATAGAGCTTGATTTTTTTAAATATTTCAAGTTGATATCATTTTTCGTTTTTGTGTTTTTTTATAATTTTAACCCCCAATTTGTATCCAATGTTTTTTTAGTAATCAATAGGCTTGATTTGTACTCGCTTTTAGTTTTTTATTTCTATTTTTATTTCTATTTTTTATTTCATTTTATTTCTGTTTTTATTTCTATTTTTTATTTGTTTTTTTCTTCATTTTAACCCTCCTTAACTCTTCTATTTTCATGAGATATTTTATATTATTTGTACTTCTTATAAATGCTGCAGTTTACTTAAATACAGCAGTAAATTTTTCTGTTTTTTCAAAAGTTATTAGTTTTCAAATTCGGGCAGAAATAATTATTGTAATAAGACTGACATAAAAATAAATGTCGCATAGTATTTTATAATTTAAGAGTAACTTTTTTAATAAGAACGTCATAATGTCATTTAGTTCAAAATTTTTAGCCTCTAATAAATTGTCTATTTCTAGTAATAATGTCATAAGAGAAAATAATAACCATTAAAAACCTTCTCTTCAGTGTAAGAACGTTATATTTCAAAATAAAACAAAAGTGAGTGGTAAAAATTGTCAAATGTGTATTGTAATAAATCTAAATATGTAATACGTTATGCATGTATTAAATATTATAAAATATAGTCTTACTTCAACAAAAAGACACAATATAACTCTCGTGCAGAAACTGACAACACGTTATCATGACGAGCATATACTCACAACTAAAATAATACAGTATTCTCATAACATAAAATACACAACGCGGTGGCGCAAGAACGACACTATTTCCCTCTAACGGTAAATTATTTAAGTTGCAGATATAACGTTCTAGCAGTTTAAAGGTAATACAAAGTGCATTTTATTTATTCAATAAAACACAAAATAGTTGTTTTTGGGATATGACGTTGTTGTATTTAATTAGCGATATCTGAAAATGCAAGAATGTAAAAATAATTTCAATTATACAGGGTTCTTGAAGAAAGTGATACGTATCAAAGTTAGTTTATTTTTTAATAGACCACTTTGTATAATTGCTCTCGCTTTAAGCGTTATCACTATCAAATGGTATTATACAGGGTATTACACACATTATGACCAGTTTTATATGAAAATCGTATTGATTTTAATTGTCTGTGTACGTTAATCGATAATTGAATCGGTTATATTCAATTAATCGATTATTTCAATTAATGATCATTTCGATTATTTTCGAAAAAAACAATTCAAAATAATCGATTTAACGAGATGAAAAATTGTTTTATTTTATTATCTGTACGTTAATTATTTACCAATCGGTTAATTTAGATTATTTTGATTATTTTCGATTAGTGGAAAATAATAGATCTTTCGAATAATCGAACAGGAAACAACTAATCTATTATTCAAAAATAATTGATTAATTGAAAAAATTATCGATGTTAAGTCAACATTTATGCAAACACAATTTTTTTCAGAATAAAAACAAATTTATACAAGGCGAGTCAAAATTGAAATACATGCATCATATTCTCATTTTTTGTTTACTTCCCTACATAGTACCATTCAAAAGTACCTTAATTATAATTTTATTTCAGTGAAGCATTATTAATTTTTGAAGATTAAAAAAATGACAAAAAAGAATTCACAAAATACAATTAATTGGCCACTGAGCGATTATCAAAGCAAATAATCTGTTATGGATAAATCGATTTATTTGATTAATCGATTATATTAGATTAATCAGTTCATTGTTCTCAATTATTCGAGATATCGAATATTTTACATGGATCAGAAAGAAAATCAAATATTTTCGAATAATTGATTATTTTGATTAACTGAAAACAATCAATATTTTCGATCAATAAATCGATTACTTTAATAATCCATTATTCGAAAACAATCGATTACCTAATCTAAAATAGATTATTCTAAACCAACCGAAAATTAATGAACAGTCGAGAGATCGATTATTCCAATCAGTTAATTTTAAATAGTTAAAAAAATCGATTATTTTCGATTAATCGTTAAATTGATTTTTCATTTAATCGATTAATCGATTTTTGATTGATCAACTTTTTACGATTATTCGATTTTTTTAATACTCGACTATTTTCTATGAATTAGTTATTATCAAATAGTTAAAAAAGGATTTTTCGATCATTCGTTAAATCGATTATTTTTGAATAATCGTTAAATTGATTATTTTGAATTTTTTTCGATTATTTTATTTTTTCGATTAATCAATTTTTTGATTAATCAACTTTTTTTGACTAATCGATTTTTTCGAATAAACGAATATTCTCGGTTATTCGATTATTTTATTACTCGAATATTTCCCATGAATTAGGTTTCAAATAGTTAATTTTTCGATTTGATTTTTTCGATTAATCGATTTTTTGATTCAACTTTTTTTCGATTAATCGATTATTTTCGAA